GGCTCTGCTGGGCTAAACCAAGTAGCCTGTGGAAAGGGAAAAACTGCCAAGGTTATTTAAAACAGGAATACATTGCAGATGTGTAAAATACCAGTGAAAAAGTTGGAAAAAATCATGACCCCAATTTGGGCAAAGTTAAAGGCCCCAAATTATGTTTAAAAAAACAACATGACCCATCTGAGAAAATTTAAAAACCCCAAAAGTATATATTAAAAAGTCATGATCCCATTTGTACAAATAACGGGAACCAATACAAAAATCCATTGGTTTATTTAATATGTCCCCAATCCCAACCATTTCTAGAATCAGAAAAAATAAATCTGCCAGTGTCTGCCTCTGTTTATTGGAATGGAAACACTGAAATGTCATCTGGATCAAATTGTTACAAGGAAGTTAATGCCAATATTGCAAGTGCAAACACATTAATACAAACCATAGCAAAAGTCTGTGGAGACAAGTGCTCTTCATTTATTGGCTCCTTGGAATAAGATGACTGCACTTCCTTTTCTTTGAAAATATTCAGAGATGCAAAAATGTCTTCAAGTTCAGATCCATTCTAAGATATTAATACAGACAGATATTAATTAGAAAAATAGATCAGATTAAACATCTTCAAATCCCACTGGAATTAACAGTCTTTAAGGATATAGCTCTGTGTTGAATACTTGCTCATTTAGAAGAGGCTTAAAGGACATAATACTTACAAAGTTATCCCCATTTGGTGCATATTTAGAACTGTTTTGCCCATGGGCCTCCACTGTCTGCATAGAATTCCTGTCAATACTGCACTGACAGAGGAAGTCTGTGCACACGCAACAGGAGTGCACATGAAAAACATTTTAAGCAAAGCAAGTAAAACATATTTGCAACCTACCCATAATCCATACAAAGCAGATGATCCATGCGTGTTCCTAATCATTTTATTCTTTTTATTTTTATTGTGCAATACAAAAACAACCAAACTGCACCATAAGAAGTAAAAGTAAGAAAAATATACAATATTTGAACAGTTATTTTATTAAGAAAAAGACCCATAGCACTGGTGACATAAGTATCCCTGTATGTTAGCATATTACAGAGCATCATTACTAATGTGTGATGCTAATGGGCAACCTTTGAACAAATTTAATAGGTAAATAAAATAATTATGCTTATACTTTGGCAAAAGCACCCCAAATATTGATATGTTTTGCCATTTGTAAATTACTCTTAAAGGCTACCTGTTCAAAAACCTGAAAGTTTCATTACATCTGCAACCCATTAAGTGGGGGTTGGTTTTCCTTCCAATATTAATCTTTTAAGCTGTTCAAAATGCATGGAAAATCCATTCATGTTGATTCATGCATTAGATTCAAAGAGATGGCTAGGTAATTCAAAAGAACTTGTATACCCTGTAATATTAAATAACTTCCCATCACAAGGTTTATCTGAATTATTACCTCCTTGCAAAAAGAAGCTACCACTGGACATTGCCAATACACATGGAGAGAAGAAGCATCAGCAGCATTATACCTAAACAACTGAGCAATTTAATTAAACCCTATTAAAGAGACATTGTGGCAGCCAGTGTACACAAAACATAAATTTTTGGTGAATTAAGCATGGCCTGAGATCCATAGTCCTTTGTGAAATAGAAAATTATGAAACATACAATCAGCTGGGCAATACAGGGTGTTCCAGTTCATTCATAGCATAGTAGAGTTGGAAGAAGCCATGAAGGCCATCGGGTCCAACCCCCTGCTGTTAGGACACCAAGTTACAACATCCCACTCAGATGAGCAGCCAGTTTGAATGTCTAATGTGGAAGAGTCCACGATCTCTCTAAGCAACTGGTACCACTGTCATAATGCTCTGACACTGAGAAAGTTTTTCTGATATCTAGCTGGAATCTGGGTTGTCACAACTTGCACTGATTATTCCATGTCCTACACTCTGGTTTCATTGAGAAGCAATTTTAACCTTATTTTTTTGTAGCAGCCTTTGAGGTACTTAGAAAGTAATATATCCCCACAAAATGAAGTCAGACAGCAGTCTTTACACTGTTCGGCTTTTACTTACTGAGCCCCCGCACCAAGCCAACATTCAGACCACTGCTGCTCAAAACATTGCCTTCCTCCCACTTTTTTCTTTTTAAATATCTTTAGAATCATGTACAGGTCCTGCAAGCTCAGCCACCCAGCAAGGCTGGCAGGGGAGTAGGTGCAACCACAGCTACTACCCACATTTTTTTAACCTGGTGTGGCTGGTTACAAAAATTTTTTAACCAAGAGTCTGCTGCAACAAACTGAGACCAGAGGGTGAGGTTGGTGGGATAAAAGGCTGCATGGGCAGGCAAGCAGCTAAGTCAGGCTGGTGGATTTAGATAAGTGAGGTGCTTCAAGAAGGTAAAGGTAGGCAGCATGAAGGCAGGTATTAATACACTACTGTCATGCGCACATGTGTGTTGAACCCTTTCAGAATATACTCGAATAGCAGCTAATATTTCATACCTTTTCAGTCAAACTGGGCCCATCAACTAAAGGCTTTTGTTCTACTGGCACACTGGGGCCTTCATTCCTCTTCAAAAGCTTCACATTATATTTATTAGCACCTGAAAAATTCTGAAACAGACTAGATTGTTATTTATATCCAAAACAACAATCTGTTTGTTAAAAGACTTTCTGCCTTTTTAATCTAAGTTACATTTAATCTAATGCTCATTTATGGGTTTCTCCCCTCAACTGCCGGCTGGCAGACTTTTCCAGCAGTGTCCAGACAAGCACTGTCAGGAAAGTCCCGCCTGTAGGGCATGCCCCCTCTGTCCCTGGCATGGGTGCCCATGAGGCTGAGCTCAGTGTATGCAAATCCTGCACTTGGGGGAAGGGGGTGTTGTGCACATATGCAGAAAGGAGAGGAGGTGTGGGTGGGTGAGCATGGAGAGTGGTGTAGAAGGGGCTGGGGGAGGGCTGCTGCTTTGTTACTCTTGCAGAGCAACTAGCAATTACTCTGCTCTAATGACTGGATGGTGGCTCTGGAGAGGAAAAAAACAAGACTGATGGCTCACTAAGAACATGCCTAGAGGGCCAATTGTGGGTCAATGGGAAAGAACTAGGTAGGGCAGGCAGGAGCAGTTCATACTGGGATTGATTCCTAGTTGATGAGATATGTGCTGCCATTTGGTGGGAAGATGGAGGTAGATAGAACTACTCATGAGTACTTAACATACAAATGTGTGAACACAGGACAGAAGGTGAGATACCATGCTGTGTACTAACTGTATGGCTTGGTTTAGTGTTATGTGCAAACAGCCCCACAGTGGCTTTTTCCTCTGTTGCACATACCAGTCAGATTTCCTGCTGTGTCATGCACGTCCAGCAAGAGTAACTTTTTGCCCATGGGATCTTTTAGGGTTCTAGGTTAACTTGTTACTCAGAACAACAAGCAACCTTCACCTGGTTCACAGAACACAGCAAGCCAAGACAGTGAGGTTTGTTATTTGGATCCCGTTAGATACAAGCAGCAGGGAAAATATACCAATCTGTATTTCTCATTCTGTGATTATGAGAACAGACACAATATTTATACTAACAAGCTCCACAATTTTACCTACATGCAACGCAAATACTTCCTTTAATCTATCTTGAATCTCATAGAGTTCCAGTTTATGGAATCACCCAGGATATTATTATTATGCAGGAGAAAAACATGTGTCTATCCACTTTCTCTGTACCATGCATATTTTTTGTAAACTTGTTCAATGTCTCCCCAAAGTTTCCTCCCAAAACTGAACAGTTCCAGACATTGTACTTTTTCCTCATAGGGGAGTTGTTCCAGACTTTTAATCATTTTGGGTACTCTTTTCCGTATCTTTTCTAACCTTACAATATCGAGTTTTGGTGATATTACATTGTGTACACTTGAAAAAAGTTCTCACACCATGGGTTTATGTAAGGTCAGTTTGGTACTGGCAGTTTTATTTTCAATCCTTTTCTAATTATGCCCACACAGAATTTACAGTAGCTGCTCACTAAGAACAATTCATTGAGCTATCCACCACAACCCCATGATCTCTTTATTAACTAATCAGCACTAGTTTGCTGACTGGTCGATAAAGCACAGATATCAAGTTGTTTTGCCTAATGTGCATCACTTTATACTTGTTTAGACTGAACAATTGCTATTTCAATTCACATTCAACAACTTTGGACTGAACAACAGTAGCTAAAATAATATGGAAAATAAATTAACAGAGTTACAGTTATAAAAATTCACATGCAAAAGAAAATAAATACAATTACCGATTTGCTTGATACTTTGTGTGTTTGGCCTTCATTTCTTGAATCTTTTGAGTCTTCTTTGGCTACAAAAAAGTTCATAATATCAGCAAAGTAAGTAAATCCTATTTTTAAAAACACAATTTAAAAAGAGACAACATTTATTAAGAGAATTCCCAGTTTCAACAGGGATTATCCCCAGTAAGTGGACACAAAATTGTATCCAGTGCAATTGTTCTGGCTCAATCCAGTATCTCTCTCCTTTTTTTTTTCCTTTCTCTATCTGGACAATATAACGAAAGGGATGGAATGTGGTACAAAAGAGCCCTGATGCTAAATATAATTTCTCACTGAAAGGAAAAAAGTTTAAAGAACACCAGAAAAAGAATACAAATACCCACAATAAAAAGTTTGCTTATATCAGAATGAATAAAAATAATCATATCAAACCATAACAATAAATTTAAATGAATATATAAATTGCCAGGCATTTTCTGGGAGAGAGTTTCAAGGATTAGGGTCATAATAGCTATTCTCTTCAATGAATTAAATTATGTGGGATTGTAAATACCTTCAGAAATAAAATGTTTCCAAATCTTAATCCAAAATTAAAGAAAGAAAGGTAGAATAGCACTTACATTTCCTAAATGACTCCTGTTTTCGTTGCTGGCCTTTGAAGCTACTGTCATTAACTACTGGTTTGCTGTACTGGCCACTTGCACTTAGCTTTATATACTGAGGTAAAATTCCACCCTAGAAAATGAGATTTTTCAGAAACTAAATATTGCACAGAAATTCTCTAACAAAATCTACTCCAAAATACAAACTAACCTTCTCATGACAGTTTGGTTCGGTGGACTGAGACTTCCCAGAGCTTTGCAATGACTGCCAAATGTTGCAAAATTCATCATCTTGTTTATTCTGATGGGAAACAAAACCAAAACCAATTCTGCTATGATGAAATGTATTAATTTTAACAACTAAGAGAACAGCTAAAGCTAAGTAGATTCCTGAAGTCACAGAATTTCTTCTCAGAACTTTATTAGACAAGCTAAATGGTGGAGACAGTGTGGGGCGAAATGTCAGTGAAGGCAAAGAGGATATATTCCTAACTGCAGTCACTTAACCTACATTTGTGAAGACTTTTGCCATTTTTGAGAGCAAGTGAGAAAGAGAGAGAGAATGGTAGTAATGATCCACTTTAAAGAGATAAGGAGATCAGATCATATTTTCATGATGTATTAGCACACATGACATTTCTAGATTTTATGCCACAAGATCATTCCAATGCTTTCTCACTTCCCCCCCCTTGTCTTCACTCCCACCAGATCCCCCTCATTCTTTCTCCCTTTCATACATAATCCTCCTAAGCTCCATTTGGTGTCCATTCACTTTTGGTGTTACCCCTACTGCCATATACCACCTCCCCCCCCTTCCTAAACCTCCATATTACTTTCTTCTCACACTGACAAGGTAGCTTGGTTCAGACGTAGCTACTACCATGGCTACTGCCATCCTAGCCCATATCCAATTTCTGTGAATGGGAAAAGGAAACTTTTGAGTAACCACAGAACTTACTTGTGCGATGACTCAGGCTATAATCCTATATCCACTTGCTAGCAAGTAGGCTCCACTGAACTCGATGGAACTTACTTTCAGGTAGACAATAGGATTAGCCCTCTTCCATTTCTAAGGAGAGTTAGCAAGTGTGTTTAGATCCTGACTTATTCATACTTAGAGTAGACTCATGAAAATCACTGGCCATGACTATAACTTTAGTTCTGCTGATTTCAAAGGGTTTGCTCTAAGCATGGCGGGTTGATTATGTTGGCTGACAGCACTACCAAGTAATAAAAGTATTATCCACATTGAAATTAAAGGAAATTATTGTTTTAGGACTGATTTTATTCTAAGTAACCATCTATGCAATCAACCAAAAGGTGGGTATATATTTATTTTAAGTGTGAAATGCAAATGGATTCATATAAACAAGCACAGGAAAGCGGAAAAATATAACACTTCAGTATTAAGGCACTTTGATTATTTACAAGGACAGTTGAAGCTAGAGAATAAATAATCCATATTACATAACTGTGAGTATATACTCTGCAAGTTAGCAAACAAGAGTTTTGCTGTCAAAATGAAGAGTTGTCAGAAAATTCAGTTCCACTGACAAATAGTTGCATCACTTTTTAAATATGCAGTCTACATGTTTTATTTCTGGCTTTTACAACTTCTCTTTAGAAAAAGCAATAATGTAGTATGGTGATAGCTAAATAAATTCCTTCTGGTGTTCTACCAGCTTCTGTGCAACAGTGAGTGGGGCAATTTCCCCTCTCTCTACAGTCCCCTGTGTGTCCTCAAAATGTGCTTTAAAGAGATGACCTTTCAGTGTAGATTTTGGGAACACATAGGAGGAAAGAGAAAAAGTAAAAATTCCATTGTATAAGCAGGTGGCCACTTGTAGGACATTAGGTTTCATCCTATATTAGTTTTAACTACTGTTATCTGCTTTGTCAACTTTTATTCTTTCCTGCTTATTGTGATTATCTTGTAGATGTTTTAATATTACATTTTTATTGCATTGGGATTTTCTGTTTCATCATGTCTGTCAAAGGTAGAAATATGCTAAATAAAATATATGATAAAGTGTTTTCTTTTCCAATTTAGTATGTGCTTCTGCTCACAAAATATACTCCTTTAAACCACTTCTCACCCGAGCATAATAAAGGTCTACAAGCATGCATAAGAAAAGAAGTAATACCACTTACTTTATATTTCTGATTTCCACTTAAGTAAGTTCCTTTCTGGAAGAAATGGGAATTTCCCTTATTTTCAGCCTTCATATTGTTATGCTGTCTTCCATTCAATTGCTAGATCACAGATTTAAAAAATACACATACACTAAAGCAGCTTTTCAGTTTTTCTCTCTAAAATATTCCTTATTCATCTATGATTCTTTGGTGGTTCATCTATGATTCTTTGGTGGGGCATATAGAATATTTCCAATGAACACAGGGACAGTTATACTGGACCAAATTAAAATCAGTGAGAAGAACATTTACTACTGGCCAATATCCTTGTGTGTACAATATCTGGGTAAAAATGGACACCCTTTTACCAGAGGTAACTGCTTTGGTAGAGCTCCTTACCTATGTTACCTCTTTCAATAATAGGATAGAATCTATCACACTCTAATGCTAAACATACACTATGTTTCTTCCAAACCCTCAAAGCACATCTTAAGAGATATGAGAATTTCAGCTGTGATCCTATACAAATCTGGATGAGTTTGAACCAGTTATTTATTATTAATAGTTAAACATTGTAGATGCTTACTATGAACAAAGAAGTTTAGCAATTTAGCATTCATGGATATCTGTTTTAGCAACATCTTCATTTTCTAGATATAGTTTAAAAAACAACTAAATATGGACTTACTCGAGTTGGAACAAAGAGGGAACGAGGGGAATGGTTGAGACCTCCTAGATGTGCTTTTTGTGAAAATGATTCAGGTGAATATGAGCTGTAGGGACTCACAGCTGGCTGGGGTTTGACTATGGCTGTTAGCTTCTGATTTCCTGTTTCAGACCGATTACCATGAGAAAGATTAATTAAGGCACTAGCTGGCATGCGGTACCCTCTGTCAGGTGAGCTCCTAATGGAAAAGAAGAAAGCTGATGAAAACAACTAAACAGAGCCAATGCTGGATAAACAATACACGTCTGGTCTAAAAGGATATGGGTAGGAGATAGCCATGATATAGTACCAAAACTTAACAACACTACTAACAGGGAATAACATGAACCTAAGAACACAAAATCTACCTAAGAAATCTGGATTCAGATCCCAACTTTACGAGGACGATCGGATGGTCTTCAGAGTGAGCATTCTTGACCTCTGTTCTATACCACAAGAATTCCATGGTTTTTATAAAGGGCAGTGGTTAAATTAAATATAGATTGTACAAGCCTTGGCTCACTAGAATAATATCTAACATTTCAATACCACCTTCCTGTGCCAATTATTACAAGTTTCTCAAGGACCTATTGAAACGTACTAAAAAGATAAAAATTAATTTAGCTGTCTCACACAGACCTTATTGTTAAGCCACCGGGAAACTCTTCATCAAAGAGTACTTCATACAGCACATCACATTCTCTGCTGGCTGAAGAAAACACACAGTATAAACAATCACTATCAAATGTGAATAGATAAAAATGAAGTATTCTGGATTAGTGCTACTATTTCTTTCTTCAAACATTATTAACACTTGTAGAGCTGTTCCATACAGAACTATATACAGGTGTATTTCAGGGTTTTAGGTCTTACATTCCAGACTTGCTATAGCTAGTGGTCCTCTTGGTTCATAAACCTGACTATTTAGATAAAACAGGAAGAACATCAAATGATGTCCAGTTTTGGGGGGGAACAATGAGATATGGAAATAAAAGGACTGAGAGAAACATTCATCATGTAAGCCAGCTTGCTAAGTCCCTCTTAAGGAGGTTTGGACTCTGCCGAAACTCTGATGAAAACATATGCTCCACCATCCTACAGAATTGCATATTCTCTCCAAAGTCCAGATTCCCCCCCCCACCACACCAAATTCCTGAAAGGATGGATGACATAAAAGGTGATTCTTTTACAGCCTCCAGGCTATAATGTCAGTTCTCCGGCCACTGTCAATCAGTGTTGAATATATTGAGTTTAGATGGGCCAATGGGCTGATTCAGGAGGGAACAGTTCCTTTTGTTTCTATGACTACTGCCACAGAAACTGCTAGTGCGGCAGGCTCTTCTGCCACATGCAGGCCTGCTGTCTGCTCTTCACTGAGCATAGTGTACTTCATGGATGAAAAGTTAACCCCCATTGCCAAACAGGGACAGCCTGTGGATATTTAGCACCTCCACCCTAAGTATCAGAGACCACAACATGTAGAGTGATCTCACCACTATTCCCATGCTATACCCTTAAGTTGACAAAAAGCTGACAAAACCCATAAGTGAAAAAAAAAATGGGAAGGAGGGCTAAGTCTCAATTCCACAGGAGGTTTAAGGAGCAAATAATTAATTCCATTCTCTTGTACAAGATGGGACCACAACTGGGGAAGGTTATTTGTGCACGTGCTCTCTCCCCCCACATCTCGCCCCTAAAGACATGGATTTCCACACCACCAACCTAGATTGACTCTGCTTCTACCAGAGAAAAGAGTTAATCCTTATATCTATTCTGCTACCCATTAACTGAGAAGGCTAAGATATATTGATGGTACTATGTGAATTAGCCAGCAGCACTAGATAAACAAAAACCTTGTATCAGAATTGTTCAGATTCAAAGATGTACGTGTGAAAAGCTCCTTGGGTTTTTCCACTGACTGAGAGAGAGCCTCCTATGCTCCCTGAAAAGCCTCTGCAGACAATTGGGGTATGCTCTTCAACTGTGTGAACAGTTGAAAGAAATCGCAAAAGTGAGCAAAAGCACCATATATGAGCAGTCCAATTTGCATAAAATGTCTGCTCTTGATTCTACTTTTCCATTGCAGTCCCCTGCAGCACAGTCCATGCTTTTCAAGAGGTTTTCCTGACTGTCCTGAGAGAAGCATTTCAGGTGCTGCTTGGGGAAAAGACGGGGAAACATGAGCAGCCTTCAGCTTGCACAACTTTGGATCCAACCAAGTGTTTAAAAAACAATGCATTTAAAAACTGCTGTTATGTTAAATAAATGAGCTTTACAATATTTTAATATTTAATATTTCTATTCAGACACTTCCCCCAAATCATATGGACAGTATTACCTCCTTTAATCCCTATTACAGTCCCACGAAGTCCAAGGGGAACTGAGAAGCTTTCTCTCACATTCACAACACGATCAAATAGTCTATATTCTGCATCTCGGTCTGGTATAATTCCATGTTGTTGTTCTAGAGGCTGATATAAATGAAGGCTTAAATTATAGCAAAATTGTCTAGCTATGAATTAATATAGTACTGTGGACATCCTTTTCGATGCACACCATAACATGCTAAGGGGGACTGAAAGTGTCAGAAAAGCCATGAGCAATGTTGCCAGGACTTTCTCATTAGCCAAGCCTCCTAGACAGGTCACCCAGGGAAGAATAATCAAAGCTGAGAAGCCAGACTAACATGCATCTACTTTATTCAGGAGGTAGACTGAATAGCAGTCACATCATCAGAAAAGAAAGGCTATTTCTAACAGTGATGGTGGCAGAGAACTCCTGAAGGGCAGCTGCTACAAAGGTAATTCAAGACAACTATGGCAGAGGATCTTTCACAGACAACAGCAGTCATGCTCAAGTTAATTCTGGTTAGTATTGCACAGAGGAAGACAATAGGATGAAACACTCCAAAATGAAAGAGAGTATCATCAGATAAGACTACCAGATCAGAAGGCACTCAACAAGCTACTGAAGAAGAGTAAAGTCGGAATAGCACTGTCGCTAATGACATAACGAAATCAAAGCTGAAAGTCTAGGAGCTGACATGCACAGAGGTGGAAGGAAAGTGTGATGCTATGAATCAAGACAAACTGAAAACAATAAAGCAAGAAATGGTTAAACACTAAAGCACTTAGTGTGAGCAAACTATAGTGAACTTGAATGTGGCTTTTTTAGTCAGACAAACACAAAGAATTCTACTCTGCAAACCCTGAAAAAATGGGAGTGCCGCTCAGACAAAAGCAAGATGTAGCACACACAGTAAGTAACTATACTGCAAGGTCTGGCTGAATAATATCAATAAGAATTGCCAGAAAACTGATTAACATGCATGTCATTCAAGTCTATCCTCCAACAACAGATTCTGAAGAAGAAGACATGGAAAACTTTTACACAAGCATCAAGTAGAAATTGATAGCACACCAGAACAAGACATGCTGATAAGCATAGGTGATTGGAACACAAAAGTAGAAAACAATGTAGAATCTAATGTAACAGAATACAGCCAAGGGTTCAGAAACAAAGCAGGAGAGTAACTCATAGAATTCTGTGCAGCCAATAATCTGTTTATTGCAAATACATATTTTAGGCAACCAAACAGATAATGGTGCACAGAGACATCACCAGATGGTCAACACAAAATGCAAACAGACTTACATAACTGAAAACATAAGATGGAGAAGATGCATTCTCACTGCAAAAAGAAGACTAGCAGCTTATTGTAGTGGTGGCATAAAGTCTTAATATCAAGAAATGGAATAAAGCTGAAAAAGATCACTAACAGAAGGATAGCGCTAAAATACAATTTAAATAAAAAATTTGCAGAAATTAAAGTCCAGATTTGCCTTGCTGAACTCAATTGGTCATGACCCAGAAGAACTATAGACTGAACCAGATGCATTATGCAGGAAGAATGCCTGAAAACAATTCCTGTAGCAAACAGAAAGAAAAAAAAACCTAGATGGATGGCAGAAAAAAACATTCGCCGTTGCTAAGGACAGACAAAAATTATAACCAAAAAGTGACAGAAATAGGGTCAGAATCCTGAATCCAGCTTTACAGGAACTGTCACATAGAGACAAAAAAAGGACTATTACAAAGGCCAGTGCAAAGAAATAGAAAAGAACACCTAAAGCAGAAAAGCTAGAGAACTCTTGCTGAAGATCCAAGAAATCCAAGTGAAATTCAAACTAAGGTTAGGAATACTGGAAGACCATCTGACCAGGAGAAAATAAAGAAAAGGTGGAAAGAATATGGGAGAATTATACAAAAGAGAAGAATGGATGGCAGACTGCTTTGAAGAAGAATTCTGTGAATATTTCTGCAATATTAGAAACTGAAGTCAAAGCTTCTTGAAAGCACTTGGAAGGAACAAGGCACTTTGAGTAGATAGGGTACCAAAAGAACTATTCCAAACTTCTGAGATAAATCCTAACAAATAAGAAAAACAAAACAATGGTCCACATACTGGAAATGTCCAATATACATTCCAATCCCTAGGAAAAGAGATGCAAACGAGCTCAGCAACCATAGGACCATTGCACTAATTTCCCATACAAGTGATGCTCAACGTGTGGCAACAAAGAAGTTTACCCAGTATGGAGAAATGCCTGATGTTTTCGCTGGATGCTGAAAAGGAAAAGGTACTTGATATCATATTGCAAATATACATTTGCTTCTGGAGCACACCAAAGAACAGTCTATGCCTTATCAACTACAGCAAAGATTTAACAGCGTGGATCATGAGAAGCTAGGAATGATCCTGAAAGAAATGGGTGTGCTTCAGTACTTGTTCTTTCTGATGCATGACCTGTACTGTACACAAGAAGCTAATGTTAGGACAGAAAATTGAGAAACAGAATGGTTTCCTATAGGCAAAGGTGTCAGACAAAACTGTATTTTATCTCCCAATCTGTTTGCAGAACATATCATAAGGAAAGCTGCATTAGGGTGAGAGTAAGGAGTGAAAACTGGAGCAAGGAACATCAATCATTTAAAATAAGCAAACGATACAATATTACAAGCAGAAGGCAGCGAAGAATGACTCCTGATGGAAATGAAAGAAAAAAGTGCAAAAGCAGGATTGTACCTGAATATTAAGAAAACAAAAATCATTACTACAGAAGTATTACAGAACTTTATTGTCAAAAATGAAGAAACTGTAATTGTTAAATATTTGCATAGCTTGGCTGAATCCTTAATTCAAAGGGAGACTGCAGCCAAGAAATTAGAAGACTTGGAAGGGGAGCAATGAAGGAACTACAAAAGAGTTTCAAGTGGAAGGTTGTCTCACTGGAGACCAAATCCAAGATCCTTCACACTACTGTATTCCCAATTGTTATGCTCAGGTGTGAAAGCTGGACAGTGAAGAAAGGTAACAGGAAGAACATTGCTGTTTTTGAAACATGTTATTGGAGAAGAGCTTTGTGAATACCTTGCACTGACAGAAAGATGGATAAGTAGATCCTAAATCAGATCAAACCAGATCTTTTGCTGAAAGCAAAAATGACAACACTGAAGCAGTCATACTGTGGACACATCATAAGAAAGCAAGACTCATGGGAGAAGACAATCATGACAGGGAATGTCAAAGACAGAAAAAGAAAAGGAAGATCAACTATGAGATGGAGCATCTCCAGAAAAGAAGTCAGAGTCTTGACTGCTGATCAGGGCTCTCAAGAACAGGACATTTGGGTGGGCATTCATTCATAGGGTTGCCATGAATGGAAACTACTTCATGGCAAACAACAACTCCACTGTAGAACAAAATCAGTGGCATATTTCTGTAGAAACTTGAATCTACATACATGTCATCAAGGCAGAGATAAAATGGTTAAATTGAGTTATATCCAATTAACCAAGATGTCCTCCTGAACAGTATCACTGTCTTCTGAAAAGACATGAATTTATCAAGCTGTCAGGTAAGGTCAAATAGCATTATATATTTTGTCTGTGTACATTGGTCCTGGACAACACACTCTAAGGCGGCCTTTCTCAACATTTTTGCCTTGGAGGAACCCATGAAATTATTTTCATAGAACTTCAGGCACCCTTGCATCAACCTCTCACCACTACAGACAGAACTGCTGGAGATGAATGTACTGATGAACATTTTAATAAACTTTGACAAAGGGGCAGTACAGAAAATAAACAAACAAACAAATAAATAAATAAAACACTCAAAAGTAGACTGTTCTATTTAGATACCATCCTACAAGAAAAACATTTGTCATTTAAAAAATAATCCAAACTTACCCTGTATAACAAGTGAGGCTTCACTGTCACACGTACTTTCTTATTACTTTTTCTTTTCTAAAGGAAAAAACAAAAACAATTAAATAAAACTATATCTGATAACTGTTGCCATGTAAATTTAAAAACATAAGTCATACATTGCATATCAAAGCAGTTGAACCCTCGTCCACTTTTGTGCTACATAATACCACGAAAATTCTGACTAGCCATCAAAAATACCAGTACTGGTGGCATTTTTTGGTACTTTCTTCCACATGTGGTTCAAGAAACAGAAATATTGGCAAGTTTTTAATGCCTCTCAAAAACACACTTGTTCACCAAGGCTTTCCCTGACCTGTGAGGGATTCTGTTACCATTTTGTTTTAATGTTGTGATGCTGTAACATTTTATTTTTCATGTTTTCAGCTATTATTTTTATTTTCTTTCTATACTTCTTAATGTGAAACATTTAGTTTTCTTAACATATTAAGCATTATAGAAGTATCATAAAGAAATCATAAATAAAACATTATTTGTCTAACTAATGAATCAGAGGTGATTACCTATATCAACAGCATCATAGACACTTGGGAGAGCCCAATCCTATTAAAGCTAATACAGTCTTTAGAGTGGGGAATGTATGGCCCTCCAGACTGTAACTTCCATCAACCTTAGTCAGGCTAAGCCAATTGCAATGGGATTGCAAGCAGTCCAACAACATCTGGAAGGCCACACATTCCCCATGGGGATGGGGATAGGATAGCTTGTTGAGAACAAAAATCTATATTAGATTTTCTGGACTGTACAAAATTTCACAGGAAAACTGACTGGCATACAGATCGTCAGTTATATATACAGACAGGGAAGGGAGCAGATACAGTGCCAATGTCTTCTTTCTTCTTATTATAACTCAATCTTATCCAGACTACTGCCCTTCAGATGCTTTGGACCACAAGCCCCAAAATTCCTGACCACTGAGCATGCTAGATGAGGCTGAAGGGAATCCAAAATATGTGAAGGGTACCAATTTGGGGAACGCTGCCATAGCTTATAAAGCAGCTTACAAACAAAAGTTAAACTCAAATTATTGAGCCAGTTCACTGAAGGTTTTTAATACTGTACTAACCTGAACCAAAATTTATTCATATAAACCTTAATAACAAGACTTATCTGTAGTTCTACTATTTTTAAAGTACCTTGCATTTTTCTATTTCTTCTTCAATCTTTTCAACAATAGCTGCATCCAAAATTTGTAAATCACAAGAAGAACGTGAGAGTGTACTGACAGGATGAGCCTTTAGCCATGCAACGACTTCTTGAACTTTCTCAGCACTATATTAAAAAGTATTCCATGTCAATAAATGCTTAAAGTGTATCTTGTCAATTAAAGCAATGTGTTAAATCATCCAGCCACATACTATTATGGCTTACAAATTTTACAAATAAGTTTTAATAAGCTATTAAATGCCTTTAAGCCCTTGAACTCAAGGGGCTTTATAGCTATCCTATCTTCATCTCCCCATCCTCTTGCTCTGCATTTTAACTAGACAACCCTTTTCACTGAAGTATCACAGAGGGGGAAGGCAGCAGGCTGGAGCAACCTGAGGATACCTTGTATCCTGGCCAACCCAACCTCCTCCCCTTCCTGCTCCGTCCTACATGTCCACTTTTACCCTTTTCTGAGGTCATTTTTCCAATCTTGAAGAATGGCCAACTTGGTTCTTTCCACAGTGACTATGAGGTGGCAGGAGTGGGGAAATCAGGGCTGAAAAATCATACAGCCTCTCAGATGCAGTCTAGGAGCCACAGCTTTGTTCACTGAGTGGGGGGGGGGGTTCTGTCTCAACTTGCATAAGACTGTGTCTTACAGCCTTACTTATGCAGATGCATGCCACTTCTAGAATACAAACAAAACCACACACACAAGAACAATGAAAGTAAGCAATGGTGCTTTTGAGTGTGTGTCAGTTTCTTCTGCTCTTCAAAGTTGAAGTAAATAAATACAAGATCCATAAACATGCTTTTTTGAGGATGGGATCACTGGATGTACATTACACAGATTTATATATAGCCAGTACTGGAAGAAGTGCTTATCCAAATGGTTCCAGCAAAGCGCTGCAATTTGGGTATTATGTTTGGATACTAGTCATCATATTATACAGAAAAGCCAATGACAGTGCTTTTGGAATTCAGGTGTTATACTGAATTTGCCAAAATGAGGCTATAGTGCCAAAGTATTTTAGGTTCATTAAAAAGAATGGATGTGGTAACATTTGCAGACTCAACAATTCCAAACATTGCAGAGTATGACTTTAAAGTTTCTAAATAGTTCTGGTGTAGGTTTCCCCTGCTACAGCTTAGAATATACTTTCAAATTTTGACATTTTATCATTTTGGGTACATCCCCTCCCCCTCCCCCAGAAAAAAATTGGACAGCAATGTTGGCTCTGCACCTGTCAAACTGGATGGAGGAGAGTGTCCACTGGGAACCATCCTCTATAGTCTCCTAAAATGGGTGATAGCAGCTGTAGTCTACTGTAAGCCAACTGGTGGTAACTGGGAAGCCCAAATACAACAAAGGGCACTTCTTTCAAACTGTCCTACATGGAGTACTTTACTTAATCCAAAATAATTATCACTCTGAAGACTACCCCTGCTATTCTACTATTCCTTCTAAAGTTATGAATTGCTTACCCATTCTCTTCTTCACCAGGCCAAATGTCATCTTCATAGAATATATCTTCTTGACTGTTTTTGGCTACATAATTAAAAAGTTCTGGTGCCCTAATAAACATGTAAGTAGATTTGAGAAGATTTTTCATAATTTTCAATATGCATTCCATAGAATCACATGTAAACCAAGACCCTCCCTTACAGATGAATATTGCAAGAATGCAGGAAGCATTTCCTACTGTTTACATTATTTCTGCCCATCCCTGGTGTACATTATAATGCAAGACATATGCATTAAGTCCAGTTTAATGCTTACCTTTCCAAATATTCATCAAGGACTTGCTCTACTGCAGAGGAATACATCCATTCATTTCCAACTTTTTTAGTATAACCAGGGACCTCTTCGTTCTTTTTCTTGAATTTTAGATTCAATCCCACATTTGCTTTATGATCTCCATGTGGACTACAAAATAAAAAGTTAGAATCCTAATTGTATTTTGTGGAGAAATAGGAAGATTTTCATGATCTCTTATTCTTTATAAAATAAAAATTACTGAGTGCTTAGTCTTTAAACGTGGCATGGGAGTTTACTCGCTTTTTGAATTGTGGAAACATTTTACAATATAAGGTGAAAGTGAAGTATTATCCAGCTTTAATATAGGTCAATAATTTATTTCATAAATTATCACAATCTGCAAAATGTGGATATAGTCAAATATGAGCTTTATTTATTTAATGGATGTATATGCAACTGCAATAGCCCATAATGTGATCTACTGAGTGAATTTCCTTCTGAGAAAATTTTGCAGAGAAGCAAGAATTCAATCTCTTTTACTGTTTCTTAGTTTTTTGTGGAAAGAAGAGTGGGGTGGGAGAATAATGGCAAAAGGGTTCGCTGAGTTTGAACTATACATGCAGACAAGATCAGTAAGATGCTGACACGTTAGTTGCTCACATAGGACAGCACTGCTCTATGCATTGGTATCAGGAACACCACCATCCAGATACCTGGATCCTTCACCTGCAAAGTAAGTTTTCCTTTTATGAGGAAGGGGTTTTTTTACATGTTTCATTTTGTCTCTCTTTCCTTATACAATGTATTAAGTTTCAATACAACTGTAACTAGGAAAGCAAGGGCAACGTAGGATACTTTATTCTTGTCAGCACCAGGACAAAACCATTTTATTTTCCCCGTCTTTTAAGGGTTGATGGCCCCTTTTAAAACTGGATTTTTACCTTCATACACTGTGAGGACTCACAAAACAGTGAGGAGTCACTCCAATCCTCAAAGAACTTCTTTTTTCAATCCCTTCATGACAATGAATTGTTCTTGCACATATGCATGCCTTTTGAGTATAAATGGAATATGAAAGCACACACTTCACTTTTCCCCTTACATCAGTGATAGGAAATGAGTGGTCCTCCAGACTGCTTGACTGAACTCTCATAACCTCCCCACAATTGGTTATGCTGCTACCGCTGATGTGAGTTGCAGCTCATTAACATCTGGAAGGTCATATTGTACCTTGCCTGTGCCTAGATTATATAAAATATGTTATTTCCTCTCCAATGTTACATTGTTGAATGAAGGTAGAATGTACACTTGCAGGATTTCCCCTAAATTCATTTATCTTGTTCATCAAGGACAAATTTCAGAGAAGCCAACAGCAACGAGATCAACAGCATTTTTGTAGCCTCGCCTTTAATTCAGAAATGCAATGAGTTATCTTCCTGAAGATGATGTATATGGTCTGTTTGTCAGAATGCTGTTTTTGTTCTATAACATGTTTTATTGAATTCATTGTGTTTTATTATGGTAGTCCATTTTAAAATGCTTTGGTAAGCTGCCTTTACTGTCATTTTCTTGTAGATAGGGTGGGAAATCAAATAAATAAATTCTAAAAATCAAAACTTACTTTCTCCTGGACCCTCTTCCAATAAAAATGCTTCCTGTAAATCTTGAGACAAGATAGCCACTCACTCCAAGACGACTAGCCAACACATATCCAGGATTGTATTTCACACAATATTTCTGAAGCAACAAAAGTTTCAGGGTGGAGAAAATGAAGAACTATTCTTTAGAACCTTAACAGCCATGCTAGTTCTTTGCAGAAAAAAATAAGGTGATTTGTAGCACCTTATGACAGAGTATGCGGGAAGCTTTAATAACCTACACTTTATACATCTGATAAAGTGGATGATACGCCTTGTAACAACAACTACATAAATAATAACTACAACAACATTGCATTTATATCCCCCTTTATTCCTCTTGTGAGAAACTCAAGCTGACTTATATAGCTCCATTTTATCCTAACAACAACATCCCTGTGATATAGGCTAGGCTGAGAGTGAGCTTCATGGCTGAGCAGAAACTTGAATGCAGATCTCCAGTTCAACTGTCTAATCACCACACCCACTTGCTCTCAAGATTTAAAACTTAAATCGCTTCATTAGTCTTGCATTTTTAAGACCTTTTGTATCTTTCTCATTTTAGATCATGGCTTTTACTGTAAATGAGGGGAAGAAATACAAATACCAGCTTTAACATGCCCCACTCCCTCTGCACAGTACTCTTCCTCATAGCAAAGGCAGTGTCAAATATAACTTCTTATCTTCAAGTTTACTGATATTTCTGATTTGGCAATTTTCCACTAAACCACAAGTCTGAAGAAGGAAACAACATGTGACAAGGAGTTATGGGGGCTGACATACTCCTTCACCTGTGAAGATGTCACAGTTCATACATTCCCCCCACCACCTCATGCATGTGTGTGCATCATCTGTTGGGCTACAGTTAACATTTCGCCACTGGCAGAGGTATTCCAGAGTTTTTCAGGCAGGTAGAAGCCCTACATGTATGTCTGAATAATGCCAAGCAAACATTGCTTCAGCTTTGTTTACATGATTACGATTGTGTTGCTAATACAGAACTTAATAAAACTGATGAGCATAGCATTACTAGAAGTTAAATTACAACCACCCAAACGCTTCATATGGATCAGGCTCTGGGTTCAAATTTTTGTTGTTGTTAGTCACGAAGTCTTGTCCGACCCATCGCGACCCCATGGACAACATTCCTCAGGCCCTCCTGTCCTCCACCATCCCACGGAGTCCACCCAAGCTCACACTAACTGCTTCAGTGACTGCATCTAGCCACCTCATCCTCTGCCATCCCCTTCTTATTTTGCCCTCAATTGCTCCCAGCATTAGACTCTTCTCCAGGGAGTCCTTCCTTCTCATTATGTGGCCAAAGTATTTGAGCTTCATCTTCAGTAACTGGCCTTCTAAAGAGCACTCAGGGTTGATCTTCTCTAGGACTGACCGGTTTGATCACCTTGCGGTCCAAGGGACTCGCAGGAGTCTCCTCCAGCACCACAATTCAAAGGCCTCAATCCTTTTGCGCTCAGCCTTCCTTATGGTCCAGCTTTCACAGCCATACATTGCAACTGCGAAAACCATAGCCTTGACTATACGCACTTTTG